CAGAGGTACCCGAAAAAAGGTTGGTATTTTTTAAGTACTGGATCACCCTACAAGTGTGTCATGTATTCCTATATAAAAATGTGATCTCTCAGATTCTAAGAGAATATAGCGGCTTTAAAAATGCACTTTCAACTACAGAAGGTAATCAATGTCCTGGGCAGAAAAACATACTGTCATTCCCTTCTGATAGACCGGCATACTAAGGAAAGAGGGGTGTCCTTGCTCAAAGTCTCCCACTGGGAAGGTAGGAAATAGAAAGAGGTGACCAAGAGATCACATGACGTATGAAAAGTTTACTCACATGACAGCATAGCTTCTGTTGACGTACAACATCTGCTGTTCTCACACAGTAGGAGCTAACTCCGTGTTTTCCAAGTGTTCCTTACATCTTACATTTCTCTATTTGGTAAGACACTTGAAAGTATGGCTTTTCTTTTCGTTGACTTTAGACTTTATACTCAGACTGGATACATTTTATGTGGTGGTCTTCATTTTAAGACAATAGTTTTAAATAATCCAGAGAGTTAATTGTCTCAATGGCTTCAGATCTAGGACTAGAGCTTTGTATTATATTCAGTGCTCTACTAACTCTCTTTCCTTTAGAAGAAGGAGGAGGAGGAGGAGGAGGAGGAGGAGGAGGGGGGAGGAGGAGGAGGAGGGGGGGAGGAGGAGGAGGAGGAGGAAGGAAGGGAGGAAAAAAACAACACAATAATTTAGTTCTTTAGCATATAATACTAAAAGAAAGCAATTTACAAGTCCTGTCCACCATACTTAATCTAATAGGAAATACTACCACTAGCAGCATGATTTTAAATACCAGTGAAAGGTTATATACTCAAAGTGTGGATGAAGACCAGCAGCATTGATATCACCCAACAGATTGCTAGAAATGTAAAATCTGAGACCACACCTTAGGGCTACAGAATAAAAATATTCATTTAAAAAAGAATTCCTAGTGAATGTCACATGCACGGTGAAGTTGGAGAAACTATTACATATTCTTGTCTCCTAGGATACTACTGATACAGAAAGGAAAGATTTACTGGTTCCTTCTACGACGAGGTGCACTGCAGAGGCCACGGTAGGGTCTGAAAGGAAGTATGAGAATGATTCTAGCCAGCACGAAGTGGACACTCACTCCCTGCCCAGACGCTGTGCTATGTGATCGACACGAATTTATTAACTGAATCTTCACAAGAGTCTTATGAAAGAATCTCGGTTATTATCCACTTACACAGATGAGGAAATGACAGCTCAGAAGGTGAGAAGTAACCCTGACATAGGCTGACATAGTTCACCCAGAACGTGAAGTCCAGGCTTTTCCACACACACTGCTTCCTGCAGACTGGGGAGTTCATACCAGAAAGACCACTAAGGCATAAAGAATTAACAAGTATAAACCCTTACGAACCCAAGAAAACCCGAAGAGAAATTCCAACAGGATTGTTGTAAAACTTGACAAGCTATTTGTAAAGTTTATACAAAAGAGAAATGATGAGATTAATTTTTAAAAGAATTTTTTTTGGAAAAAAAGACTAATATATACGACTAGATATAAAACATTAAAAAATTGGAGCATTTAGCACAGGGTGGTGCTGGCATAAGGAGAGACAGAGAAGGTCGAGAAAACAGAACAGCAAATTAAAATGCTATAATGGTTTCCACTCATTTACCAGATTTGAAAATTTAAATTAAAGAAAAAAAGATAATGGCTGATGTTAGGAAGGATGAAGGAAACAGATTCCCATGCACTGAATTTAAATTAGTACCTGGGGTGCAGGCAGTGCTGATTTAAAGAACTGCATCAAGTAGCAAAATGGACAAACCCTTGGACCTTATAACTCTATTTCACAGAAATATTCAGGCTTACACAGTAAGACAAATGCAGTCTTTCCTAAAGTACTATTGCTAATATTGAATAATTTGAAATCATCCAAAAGGCCATCAAGAAGGGAAAAACTGGATAAATTCTATTTCTAACTTAGAATAACACGTAGCCTTTAACAAAAGAGCTTTGTACTGACATGGGAAGATCTCTAAGGCCTGGAAAATGACAAAGTAAGCTACACAATATATAGTAAGATCTCAATTATATATATTAAGATATATGTATGTGTACATATTATACAAATACACAGAAAAGAAAACACAATCATGGAATGGTATTTACCAAATGTAACCATCCCTCTTCTGAGTGGGAACAGGTGTGACCATGGTAGTCTACATTTCCTTCCATATAGTTCTCTATTTTTTCCATTTTGTTTAATTTTTAACATTTATTTATTTTTGAGAGAAAGAGAGGCAGACCGCGAGTGGAACTGGGGCAGAGACAGGGAGACACAGAATCTGAAGTAGGCTCCAGGCTCTCAGTTGTCAGCACAGAGCCGGATGTGGGGCTTAAACCCACGAACTGGGAGATCATGACCTGAGTCCAAGTTGGATGCTTAACCGACTAAGCCACCCAGATGCTCCTATACATCTCTATTTTTTGAATGAGAACATAGTCAGTTATTATTTGAATTATTTTTAAAACATAAAAATGAAATTTGGACAACCTGGAATATATAAATGCTGAAAAGCCAGTACAGTTGGCCCTTGAACAAAGCCAGTTTAAACTGCATGGGTCCACTTATACACAGACTTTTGCAAAATATACAGTACAGAACTGTACATGTGTTTTCACTCCCTTATGATGTTCTTAATAACATCTCCCTTTCTCAAACCTACTTCACTGTAAAAACAGTATATATAACATGCACAATGTGTTAATCAACTGTGTTATGAGGAAGGCTTCTGGTCAATAGTAGACAACTGGCAGTTAAGTTTTGGGGGAGACAAAAGTTTTATGTGGATTTTTAGGCACCCCTAACCCCCGTATTGTTCAGGGGCCAACTGCAGAACTGAAATGAGAGGGAGGGAAGGCTGTGAAGCCAATAACACAATTGTTGGGAAAGAAACTCTGACTTTATGCAGCTACAAAGAAGCGTGCTTGGAGGGAGGGGTATCTCTCACAATATTCTGTTTGATTTTCCCCCATTTCACATATTGTTTTTTAAATCAAAGAGGACTTCCTCTTCCAGGGAAAGGAAGGCCAGGTCTCCCTGTTCCTGTAATTGAGCAAGATGACACTCAGGAAGATTTCCTTCTACGCGAGCCAACAGTGCCCCAGCCCAGTTCCCACAAGGAAAACATACTCTTTCCTCTTGTGGAAACATATTACCACTGATTTCTCTTTCAAACTCATAGCAGTTTTCCTGTTCCTTTTTCAAGACAAAAGCATTATAAGAAACATCAGAGAGGCTCTGGCACACCTGCATGCACACCTCTGTTCCTGGCCCTTCAGGTTAAAGAAAGGAGTAGGAGAGACTCAGTGCATAAGTACTTTCCCCAATGTGGCCTGAGTCCTGTGGCATGCTTTCAAGGTGACCTTTGATACAAAAGGCTCAGACATATTTGCTGGGACAACATGAGGCAGAACTGAGACCAAGATGTAAGTCACAAGGAGGCAAATTATAGCTGAGAATTAACTTAGTCCAGCAAAGATATATTAGGTGGTGAGCTCCCCGGAACTATTAGCTTCTAACAGTACTGACTGCTACCAGGGCAGATACAAATTGAGCACAACCTGAAGATTCTAAACAGGCAGCTGAAGTTGGAGTCCAGTGCTTTTAAAAAGCTCCAAGAAGGATTCTGAGGCACAGCTAAGTCTAGGGTGCATTCTATTTATTTTTAATGTTTTTATTTATTTCTGAGAGTGAGAGCAAGAGAAGAGAGAGACAGCGTGAGCAGGGGAGGGTCAGAGAGAAAGGGAGACACAGAATCTGAAGCAGGCTCCAGGCTCTGAGCCAGCTGTCAGCACAGAGCCCGACGCGGGGCTCGAACCCGCTAACCGTGAGATCATGACCTGAACTAAAGTTGAACGCTTAACCGACTGAGCCACCCAGGCGCCCGTTTAGGATGTATTTTAAAATAGCCGAAGAGGGAGACAAAGCAGGACAGTAATGAAGCACCACCCCCAGAACCACTCTGAAAAGGATCCTAGAGTTTGAGGCACAGCATAGCACAGTGGTTATAAGCAGACTCCAAGCCAATCCCTGACTCTGGCCTGTTAGCTTTGTGACCACAGACAAGTTACGGAACTTCTCTGGGCCTTGGTTTCCTCACTGATAAAATAGGGACAAAGCTACTCACTCCCTCACTGGCAAAGCTTAAATGAGCTGGTATACATAAAGTACTCAAAACAGTGCCTGGTCCATCGTAAGAACCATTATTATTTTGCAGAGGAGGAAACTGAGGCTGAGGCAATGATTAACTTGACCCCAGTCCCAATGTCAGCTTTAGACTTGGGCATAAGCTTCTTTCTTTCCAGCTCAAATCAGATACACCATATTTACTTCTATGGGGTCGTCTATATGGACCCTCATTACTCCTCTTGAATTGAGAATAAGTTCGGTCACAGAGTCCTCCAGCCTGTTGGTTACCAATTGGCCTTTCTCAGTGGAACCTAACAGCATGCCCCACAGTGGGGCAGGATGCATGCATGCATGCATGGTTGGGCTGATGAAGGACAGGCCAAGGACCATCACGAAAGGACTCCATGGTGTCAGGGACAAAACGCTGGTCTACAGGATTTGTCACCGCGGCCAGCTTTTCGGTCAAGCTATTGAACCCCTGCAAGCGGGTGGGGGTGGGGCGCTTGCACGTGCACGTTTCCCGCCGCTCAACCATCCTACTCGGCGCCCCTTCCACTTGAGTGGCGAGCAGGGTGGGTGTCTGCCCACCACACGCCCGCACCCCCGCACCCCTCCCCTCCCCCCATCTCCTCGCTGCACACCGGTGTGAGCACCGCCCACTTCCAGGTGTGAACGGAGCCCGGCAGGCAGGAGGGACACCACCACCAACTCCGAGTGGAGTGAACGTCAGGGGGGAGTTAAGGGAGCGTGATGGCGGGGGACTGTCGGGGAATACAATTAACTTCCGTGGTGATGTGCAGGGAGAGAGCCAAAGGTGGATTAAACGGGAATGTTAACTGAACAACCATTCCCGACTACCGAGAACGAAGCGACGGGGCTGTGAACTCCCAAGCAGGGAAGGAAACGCCGCGACGGACCCAGCACTGTGCGCTCTGGAAAGAATTCCTCTTTTCGCGTTACGCACCCGGCAGGCAGGCGGGGACCCCCTCAAAGCACCGGCTCGGAGCGGGTCGCACGGTGAGCCAAAGCAAACGCGGGGCGGAGGCGGCGCGGAGCGGGACGGCCAGGCGGCCGTGCCCCGGGCCGGGCGTCCCGCTGGGCAGACGCCGCGAAGGGCTGCGGGGCCGTCCGATCCTTCCGGACGCCGCGCCGGGTGGGCTCGCGGGAAGGGCGGGCTGCGCGCGGGGAAGGCGGCCGCGGGGCGCGGAGGAGAGCGAGCGGGCGGCCGGGCGGCGGGGGTACTCACCCGGCGGGCGGGCGGACGGCTCAAGCCGGGTCCTGGGCGGCGCGGGCCCGCGGGTGCGGACGCCGGTGTGGACGTGCAGGGGCGGCCCCGCGCCCGGGCTATGAATCAGCTGCGGGGCGAGCGCCGAGGGGCGGGAGTTACGGGAAAGCCGCGGGGGAGGGCAGAGGGCTGAGGACTTTTGCAATTTCCCGTCCTGCTGCGCACTCTTGGCACTCCCGGGACCCACAGGAATTCGCCCCGTTTTGGTCCCGGGGGAAGCGGCCCGGGCCCCTGCGGGAGGCGGCGGGGACCCCGCGGAGGTGCGGCCTCGGGCCTCGGCGGGCAGGCGCGCGGGAAAGGAAGTGGGAGAGGCCTCGGAAGGAACCGTGGACCCAGGTCTCCGCGGGAGGCGTCGCGCGCCCGCCTCTCCTGTCCCCGCGGCGTCGGCGGCGGGACGCCCAGGGCTGCCGAGGGTCCCGGGCCTGGTGTGACCGCGCGAGCCCACTTGTTATCCGAGGCGAGGGGCGGAACCCTGGGCTCCCTGCGCAGGAAATCGGCGCTTCAGCCAAACTTCGGACTGTGTTTCCCTTAGGCGGTCAGAGCAACGAAAAGGTGTTTGAACAGTTCTAGGACCCTGGTTCTGGTCCGGGTCTTGAAACGCCGTGAGTAAGTGTCATCTGTGGCAACATCCCTGATGCTTTAGTGTCACAGAGCAGTGTATGCTACAACTTGCTTTTCCTCTTAAGAACGCCGTCCAGTCTTTGAAATTCGCGTTTCAAATACAGGGCGTTTGAAATACCTCTGCGCCTCTCCTTATGGACTATGGACCAGCTCCGTGGGCTTTGGAGCTGGGGTGGAGATCATCCTAATACTGCCCTGTTGGGGAAGGTCACGGAAAAGACATGACCTCCAGTTGACCCTTGAGCTGCACCTGGGCAATCTGAGGGCTTCTCACCCCTTCCCCTGACCAGGAAAGTGGGTTCTGCTTGCCTGTTGGGCTCTTAGGGGTTGCTCCAGGGACATAGCCTTGAGATAGTGACATCATGCTGAGAACACCTAAAGGGTACTCTTCACTAAACCTAGCTAAGGCCTCTTCAGGAACTTTTAAGGCTTGCAGAGGGGTGCAGGGATCCACTCATCTTGTGACCACCCAAGATAAGCCTATGTAAGTTCCCTTTGCTTATTAAAACTGTACATACCTGCAGGGTCGTCTAGGTGGCTCAGTCAAGCATCAGACTCTGTATCTCTGCTCAGGTCTTGATCTCAGGGTTGTGAGTTCAAGCCCCTCTACCGGTTGGGCCCCACCCTGGGCCCTACTTAAAAAATTGCACCTGCCAACTAGAGTGGCCAGTGTCTCTCTTCAGTCTCTCCTGGCCCTCCAAGTACTGGACAGTTTCAGATTTCACCCGGGGAGCTCCCTAGAGGGTCGAGGACCAATATGGTGCTTCTGTGACCCGCTAGGACCCAGAGAAGAGAGCGGTGTGGCTCCAGTGTCTGGAGGACTCGTCTGGATGCCTGACAACTTGGAGGATTATTCATGAGGCCTTGCTAGGCCTGTTCTGGTCGGTTTTGGGGACCCTGGGAAGTATCATGATTGCTAAGGACTGTAGGAGAGGAAGAAACCCAAGAATGATTAAGAAGGATTGCGAATCATATCTTATCTTAGAATCACTTCTTGAATTGACTGGATGGCTCAAAATCTTGTCGGAGTCAGCCCAAATGGTACTTCTGTGTTTGTCCCGTTTTTGTTCCTCCCCAGTGTCACCCCAGGGAAAGAATTTTGCTTTAGGCCTAAATACATTTACTGCCTAATAGTGCCACAAAGACCATGGTACATAGTAAATATTTGATGATAATGAAGAGAAGGTACTTTTGTCTAAATAAGCCTAAGTTCCTTTGCCGCACTTCAGTACTTCCAGGGTTTTAAAGAGTCCATTAGTTTTGCCATCTGCAAGGCTATGGAAACTACCAATCCAGATCCCAAAGGGCTGGGAAAGCTTTCTGATTCTGTATTTCAGTGAATGAGAAAAAAAAAAAAAAAAACATGTTAATTTCTTCTTTATAGAAACTGTTCCCTGTCTCTCAGGAGCAGGTGAGATGCCAAATTAAAAAATACAGAGTGTGACCATTTCTACAAAATAAGTCTTATCTTACTTTGAGCTCCTATTACAATTGAAGGAAACCAAGTTGCAAAAAATTCCAGCCTTGGGAGTGCCTGTGAATTTCAAAGGTGTGTGGGGGAAGAGCAAGGAAGGACCTGAGAAAGAGGCAGACCATTCCAGGTTGGTAGGTAGCAGATTTCATGAGCAAAGGGGCTCACACATGGCTTGATGGGCAGCTGCAAAATGAGTAGTAGGTCTCCACCCCTGCCTGCCAGAATCTTAAGAGTTAGAAGCCTTGCCTGGGTTCAGTCAGCGTAGAGGCCAGATGGTCACAATGACGCATTGCTCTCTTAAGGCAGTGTCCTTGAAGTGGCTCCACGGTGGGCGGAACATACATTCCAAGGACAGAGAAGGGGATAGGAGCCTCTGCTTCCCTAGGTCCAATTCATGGGTCACTGGATGTCATGTCTTCTCTTTGACCTGCTCCAGCAGGTGCCCATATATAATTCATTTATTCTGAGTACCATTCTAATATCTTAAATTTATCCCTCTTTCTAGAGTCTAGTTGCTATAGCACCTGTAAATTTGTGATTATACCCTTAGGATGATATACTAGGTTGAATAGTGTCCTCCAAAAATTCATGTCGAGCCAGAACCTCAGAATATGACCCTATGTGGAAATATTTTTGTAGATTAAATCAAATTAAGATGAGGTCCTATTAATCCAATGGCTGCTGTCCTTACGAAAAGAGGGAAATTTGGACACAGAGAGTCCAAAGAAAGAACGCCATGTGAGTACTGAGGCAGAGACTGGCATTATCCTGACACGAGACAAAGAATGCCAAGACTTGCCACTGGCAGAAGATAAGACAAAGGTACACACAGGTTCTCACTCTGAGCCCCTAACAGGGAACTCGCCCTGCCAACACCTTGATTCCAGACGTCTGGGCTCTAGAACTGGGAGAGAACGAATTGTTCTAAGCCGCTACATTTGCCGTGATTTGTTAGAGCAGCCCTAGATACTGTTCAATAGGTGAGCATGACATATATATCCCGAAGGTTAGTTTGGAAAATTCGCCTGAACAACAGCTGAAATGAGAAAAGGTAAAAGATACCAGACATATTGAGCCAAGGGCTGAAATACCTTTCCCGGTTGAGCATTGACAAGATTATGTTGGGAAAATACATAATTATTCTGCTCCATCTGATGCTCCCTGCTCTTCCGTCTTCCTTTTGATTTCAGTAGCACAGCACTCTCCACGTCCCCCCTTTCCCTGACTTTCTTCCCCGTCACTTTCTCGGGCTTCTTGTGTCCTGGGCTCCATCCTGGACATTCTTCTCTGAATCCATAGTCTCCCAGGTGAACACATCCATGCTCCTGAATTCAGTGATCACTTGTACATAAGGACCCTGGATTTTCCTTCCCGTTGCAATAATTTCTTCTGAATTCCAGGCCAACTTACTTGTACATCAAAATCAATATGTCCAAGTTCAAACTCCTAATTTTTCCTCATGATTCTCTTATATTAAGGGAATAGCCCAATACATTAGACACTACATCGAAAGACCTGTGAATGACCCTTGATCTGTCCTCCCTTATCATCCATCCAGAAGGTCTCATCTGTGTAACTATCATTGGGGAGGCACAAGTGGGATGTATCCATACCCTATCCAGCTTCTTGAAGGAAAAAAATAGTTCCATAACTGCCAGGAACACTATATAGACATAGATATGGGTATAGATATATGAAATCAGCTAGGTAAATTGTGAGATATAATCATGATTCTGTTTGTGCAACTACTATAAATGTCTAAAATTACATGCTTGGCAGTAATCAAACTAATGGAGGTAGAGGAGCTGGGAATTTTCTGAAGAAAGTGGCTTCATCAGGTGAGCAGTTGATGCGAATTTGAAATTGCCCTCATGGAAAAGAATTCTCTATTTGGGGGGCAATATATCACATTTGATATTTTAAGACATACTTAAATTTTTTTCTAATTTTCATTTATTTTGAGAGAAGGAGCGTGAGCATGAGCAGGGGAGGGTTAGAGAGTGAGAGAAGGGGAGAGAGAGAGAGGGAGAGAGAGAGAATCCCAAGCAGGCTCCACACTGTCAGTGCAGAGCCCGATGTGGGGCTCCAACCCACGAACCATGAGGTCATGACCTGAGCAGAAATCAAGTCTGACCCCTAACTGACGGAGCCACCCAGGCACCCCTAAAGATTCACTTTTAGGTCTTAAAGTATGCTGCTGTCACCATCCTGCTTAAGACATGATTGTGGGGGCGCCTGGGTGGCTCAGTTGGTTAAGCGTCTGACTTCGGCTCGGGTCATGATCTCATGGTTTGTAGGTTAGAGCCTCACATCAGGTACTGTGCTGAGAGCTCGGAGCCTGGAGCCTGCTTGGGATTCTGTGTCTCCCTCTCTCTGCCCCTCCCCTGCTCATGCTCTCTCTCTCTCAAAATTAAATAAACGTTAAAAAAAAAGAGTGATTGTGGGTGATACTAGCATTACTTCTAAGAAAAAGTAAGGAAATTAAAGTGTTATTTTGAAAATGTATTCTTGTGAAAAATGAAATAGGCCTCCAGTAAAATTTTTAATCTCTGATATGTCATAAAACTTGATTAAGTATGGGACAGCTATCACTTACAACTTTATATGTATAAAACAGAGCCAGCAATGAAGAAGCAAGGTGCTGAATGTTCAAGAACCACAAGAACCACATGTTCAAGAACTTTCACATTTTATAATTTCAGGGGATTCCTTCTAATTACCTAATCATGAATTGCTTCTCTTTCAATATCTGCTAAGTGAATTTCAGTGAAGGACAACATTATCCTTAATAGTTCTAAAGGGGTTTTCTGTTTGAACTAGATATTAGTTAGGAATTGATGGGTGGATTAATTGATCGATTTCACACACTCTACCCTCTCCTGAATATTGTAATTGTGCTCACATTATGATCCAGAAATCATCAGAATCCAAACAATGGGAAAACTTTTCTTTTTTTCCCATGGGCTTTTGTGAATATGTGTTTGTGTAGATATCTGCTTTTATTCTCTTGACTGTGTTTATGAGAATTAATAAA